TTTATCAACTCCCAAGCAAAACTAAGCCTGTGGCTCTGGTTGGTGAACGTGTCTCTTTGGCGAACTGGCATGCACGCTTAGGTCATCCTAATACCAAGACCATAAATTCGATATCCCGTGTTTTTAAATTGCCTATTTCTAATAAAATGGACTTTTCTTTATGTGAATCTTGTGCGTGCTCTAAGAGTCATAAGTTACCCTTTTCGCATTCATCCATCACAAGTCATGCTCCACTAGAACACATCTATTCGGATGTTTGGGGTCCAGCCCCAATCGTCTCAATTGATGGCTTTCATTCTTTTGTATTGTTTATCGACCATTTTAGTCACTACATTTGGATTTTTCCCATAAAATACAAATCTGATGTCTCAATAATTTTTCCAAAATTTAAATCTCTTGTTGAAAATCAATTTGGTTCTTCAATTAAAAATTTTCATTCCGATGGCGGGGGCGAGTACATTGCCCTTCGTGCTTTTCTTTCTCAAAATGGTATTTCCCATATTACCACACCACCTTATACCCCTGAACTCAATGGTATTAGTGAGCGTAGAAATCGACACATTGTCGAAACAGGCCTCACTTTACTCCACACTGCCTCCTTGCCCTCCAAGTTTTGGTCCTTTGCCTTCCAAACTGCTGTCTACCTAATTAATAGGTTGCCAACAGTAACCTTGTCCTCTATATCTCCCTTGGAAAAATTATTTAAAGTCAAACCAAATTACCTAAAGTTGCGCATTTTTGGTTGCTCTTGTTTTCCATGGCTTCGTCCATATAATAATAATAAACTACAACCTCGCTCTCGTCCTTGTATTTTTTTGGGCTATTCCCCGGATAACTTGAGTTACAAATGTTTTGACATTCATTCTGGAAAGTTTTTTTATTCCCGACATGTCATTTTCAATGAAAACCACTTTCCCTATCATACTCCTACTCTACAAAACTCTCTCTCCAATTCCACCACCCACAGCTTTTCTGATTCCTCCTTTCCTCATGACTTCTCTACACAGCCAGCTCCCAATGACATGGTCTGCCACCGCCCAGCTGTTGGTCACACAATGTTGCCTCCTTGTGCTCCAGCTCCCCATCATGCGGTAGTCCCTGTGTCCACCAAACCAGCCGATCCTCACTCACCAATCACTCCATCGACTCCTACCTCCACACCTCATTCTCCCACTCAAAGCCCCCGTCCAACCTCCACCCCTACCGTCACCCCCACCATAGCTGAACTGGACTCCTCTCCTCCTACATCCACCAACCACGCTACTTCTCACAACCTCTCACCACCATCGCCTCCCCCGCCTATACGGACTCATCCCATGGTCACCCACTCTCAAAACAACATCTTTAAACCAAAGACCTTACATCATGCAACCATGGCCTCCCCACTCCCTTCACCTAAACCCACGTGTGTGCCTCAAGCAATCAAAGATCCCCATTGGAGACGGGCCATGTCTGAGGAGTTCAATGCGTTGATTCGTCAAGGGACGTGGGAGCTGGTACCCTCTCACCCGGATCAACATGTTCTTGGCTGCAAGTGGATCTTTCGAATAAAACGGGGTAAAGATGGGTCCATTACACGCTACAAAGCACGTTTAGTTGCCAAGGGGTTTCATCAACGGCCAGGTTCGGATTATCTCAACACCTTCAGTCCTGTTATTAAACCCACTACAATCCGGACTGTTCTCTCTCTTGCAGTTAGTCGCCGGTGGCCTCTTAAGCAATTGGATGTGAATAATGCCTTTTTACATGGTGAACTTGATGAAGAGCTCTACATGCAGCAACCTGCCGGCTTTATTGATCAGACTCATCCCTCACATGTTTGCCGGCTTCGCAAATCGATTTATGGCTTAAAACAAGCCCCTCGAGCTTGGTTTCGAGCTCTCAAGGCATTCCTTCTTTCGCAGGGGTTCTTCAACTCCAAATCAGATTCTTCCTTGTTCATCTATAACAGGGGGTCTGTTGTGATTTATTTTCTAGTCTACGTGGATGATATCATTGTTACTGGCAACAATATTTCCTTCATTACCTCTTTAATCCGGACTATGGGACATCGCTTCTCTCTCAAAGAGCCTAGCGACCTCAGTTACTTTCTTGGCATCGAGGCTGTGTCGGTGAATGACGGTCTCTTTCTTTCACAGCATCGCTATATTCAGGACCTATTACAAAAGTCGGGTATGACTGAGGCTAAACCCGTGGCTACTCCGCTAGCTTCCACTTCCAATTTGCTTCTCCACACCGGCGTCACTCTTCCAGATGGTTCAGACTACAGAAAGCTTGTCGGTTCTCTTCAGTATCTTGCTCTCACACGGCCTGACATTTCCTTTGCTGTTAGTCGACTCTCACAGTTCATGCACAAACCCACTGATGTTCACTGGCAGGCTCTTAAGCGAGTTCTACGCTATCTTCGTGGCACTACCTCTCATGGGATCCTTCTCCGGCCACAACAGTCCCTCTCCCTTCACGCCTTTTCTGATGCAGACTGGGCTGGGGACCGTGACACTTGTCTCTCCACAACCGGCTACATTGTTTTCCTTGGAGGGAATCCCATTTCATGGAGAGCGGCCAAACAGCGTGCTGTTGCTCGCAGCTCCACCGAAGCAGAGTACCGAGCCTTAGCTGCGTCTTCCTCTGAGCTTGTCTGGGTTATTCATCTGCTGAATGAACTCGGCATTCCCGTCACTGATCCTCCTGCTCTCTATTGTGACAATGTGAGTGCCACTTATTTAAGTAGTAATCCAGTTCTGCATTCAAGGATGAAGCACATTGCCGTCGATCTCCATTTTGTGCGTGACTTGGTTGACAAAACGATTCTCCGCGTCTCCCACATTGCCTCCAACGACCAACTTGCTGATGGGTTCACCAAGCCTCTTCCTTCTACCAGGTTTATCTGTTTACGGGACAAGATTGGTGTTGCTGATGGCACCTCCATCTTGCGGGGGCGTGTTAAGGAAGGTGTATCTCCTACGTGATCTGCAGTAAATGGCGCCATGATTCTAGGATTTAGTCAATCTTCATTTATGTACTGTATCATATATATTGTGTCCATATCAGTTAAGTTTCCATATCAGTTAAGCTTCTGCGTGAATACCCTCTGTATATATATTGATTACAAGACAGCAATAAGGTGCAACTCAGCTTGGCTTTTTATAATCTTGAGCCTAATAACCGGGGCCCTCTGAGAAAGTTTCCAATGTTGCGTCTTGGATTATGGCACAATTTTGTTGCAGACGACTGTTCATCTGGGCAGTCCAATGGTTGAGGGGGTGTGGTGACCAGTGCCTCCTGGTCAACTAACCCCTACTTTTGCAACACTGCCTGCAAGGCATCCTCACTACATTTGATTAGAATTTTTGAGATGTGACAACTTAGCTACTTATGATTCTAATTACTTATCAAGTTTGTGCGTGCGAACAAGTTTGTAATCTAAATGATGGAGTTATGTACAGTACTGATGTAGGGAAGTTGTGAATTTGTTTACAGAATAAGATTCTCAGCTCTTGTATTATTTGGCCATAATTTGTTGTGTTTTGAATGTATATTTCCCATCAATTTTGCTTCAGTATGTGATTTAACTTTGAGTGTTGGGTTGTTTGTTCAGGGTGTGTTCTGGTGAGTTAGGCGCCACTTCACTGCATTTGTTTTGCAGGAGTCCCTTTTTTTGAATTTTTAATTCTTTCTCCTTCTCTGTCTTGTTCTCTGACTGTCATGGTTAGGTTATTTCTGCCCATAAAGGGGAATTTGAAACTGGATATGAGAGGGGTGGGCAAACCCGTGAACCTGTTCAGCTTGCACAAACTTTGGGTGTATCTACGCTGTTTGTGGTTGTGAACAAAATGGAGGATCCCATTGTTAAGTGGTCAAAAGAAAGGTGCTGTTCCTGAATTTAGTTAAGGTTATGATCATATATGCCGTTTTATTTCTGTGTTCTTGTTCTGATGGTTCATTCTTCGTGGCATTCTCCCTTAGATATGATGAAATTGAATCTAAGATGATACCATTTCTGAGGTTTTTAGGCTACAATGTGAAAAAGGTAATTGATATATTGCTTGCCAAATTTTTTTCCTTTTTGTTTATAGGAAAATGGTGATTGATTGAATTAAAATTGTGAGTTATTCATATTTTTTCAATAAAAGCAAAGCAATTAATTCTGTATATTGATCGTGTTTTTCATCTTATTCTGAACCTGTAGATGTCCAGTTCTTACCAATATCTGGTCTTCTTGGTTCCAACATGAAAACGAGACTGGACAGGAGCATATGCCCCTGGCGGAATGGCCCCTGCCTCTTTGAAGTTCTTGATGCAGTTGAAATTTCTCCTAGAGATCAAAAGGTCCTTTTAGGTATGATTTATTATTGTAGGAATTCATACAACTCCAGGGAGAAAATATACTTGTATAACTAAACCTTCTCTTCCTTTGTTATAGAAAAGGCTACATGGTTACTCATAAGGACTCTGACTATTTCTTGAGTCCCTATGACTTTGATTCCAAACATAAGTAAATAATTGGCTAGGATTCTTCGAAATTGAAACCTAAAAAATCTAAATCCTAAAGATCCTAGAATGACCAAAATGTACCCAAATTATATTTTAAAAAGAAAACCGAAATCATGGAACTGAAATTATATTAAGTCTGCCCCTGAACATAGAAAAACTTAACTTAAGTATAATAAAATAGAACCCTAAATTGCTAAAATTAAAGTTACGCAACATAGATTCTGAATTATCAAGGCTGCATCAATCTTTCATTTCACATCTATTAATTTTATGTATTCTAAATATGCAGGATGCCTATAATTGACAAATTTAAAGACATGGGAACTGTCATAATGGGAAAGGTTGAATCTGGTACCATGCGTGAGGGTGATTCCTTATTAGTCATGCCAAACAAGGTGCTTAGTCTTTCCCTTAATTTCTTTATTTTATTTATTCTTAAACCTCGATTCTGATGTCCAAGATGCATGGATGGCAGGCTCAAGTGAAAGTTCTTGCCATTTACTGGGATGAAGATAAGGCTACATGTGCTGGACCTGGTGAAAATCTGTGGGTTAAGTTATCTGGTATTGAAGAAGAGGACATATTATCTGGTTTTGTGTTGTGTGGTGTTGGTAAGTGCTCTTAAAGATTGTAAAAACTGAAGGCTCTCATGTTTGATACCCTAAAGAGAAAATTAGACTATAGAAAGTGGATTTAAAAAGTAAATGGTAGGATAATTTGCAAATTTGTTTGCAGAAATATTTCCATTCTTTTGTAGTTTTTGATAGCAATGCTGGGACTATCCTAACAAGTAAAATGTCTCGGCCTCACCATCCCTCTCTATACTTATTTTCTAATTTTGATTGTGAAGTGTTATTTGTGATTTTGTTTAAGTTTTGCTGAATTATATCTTCTTTTTTTTTTTTTTCCTTTTTACCCTGCAAAACCAATACCAACAATCATTGAATTTACGGCCCAGCTGCAGATCCTTGAGTTGCTTGACAATGTATGAATGAATCCACTTTATGAAGTCCTCTCTCATGTGTAATCTCTTAATTCATATGATTAACTTTGCATCTAATGGTTTTGGACCGTCTCTGCTATTTTAGGCAATATTCACAGCTGGCTATAAGGCTGTCTTGCACGTTCATTCTGTTGTTGAGGAATGCAAGATTGTTGAGCTGCTACAACAAATTGATCCCAAGACAAAGAAACCCATGTAAAAAAAAGTTCTATTTGTTAAGAATGGTGCTGTTGTTTGCCACATTCAGCTTTACTTCTTGCCTTTTCACTCTTTTGGAAATTCCAAAGTGTTTATTCTCTGACACTTGGAATTATCTAGAATTATGAATGTTTTCCATTCAGCACGGTATCATCCTCCTGCTTGATAATTGTGGGACTGCTATAATTTCTATTTATATAAAAGCTGTAGCATTGCTCTGTTATTTATGCACCTTCCAAGCTTTCAAAGGTCTGAAGTGGTCGGAATCTCCAACCAATATTACATTTTATCAAATGGTTTTCACTGGTAGTTTATTTTTAACAGGGAAAGAAGTCTTGCTTTGAAGTAGAGACTAGCTCAATTATATTTGAAACATTTCTCTCTGTTTGAAATTTGGTTCATGAATTATATCTTCGTGGCAATATTGTCTCAGGTGAACAACTTGATTTGTGTTGAGAGATTCTCAGATTATGCACAACTGGAAAGTTTACTCTTTGAACTGAAGGTAAGTGACTGCATTTTCATTATTCATGAATTACCCTAGGCGTGCCGTGTCTAATTTGGATTACTGTGTCTACAGGAAAAACAGTTGCAGTGGGAAAAGTCATGGACATTCCTTCAGGTGCCAGTGCATAAAAAAGTTTTGTTGTTAGGGGTGAGAAATTAAATTTATAGTTCATTTTGAAAAATACAATAGCTAATGGGTTTTAGTGATTCTCACTAAATCAAAGGTTTTAGTGACTAGATTAAGGCGTAGAGATCAATAGTAAAGGGAAATTCATGTGTTTCATGTGCTGTCCAGTCGGTAATTTTGGCAAAATTCGGGCTGGTTCGTTGCTTTAATAATTGTATCGAGAGACATGGGTTGGAACTAAAAGGTCAGCGTGTTTTCCCTTTTTTTTTTTTTTCAACAGCTACAAATTGGATTAGGGAATGGGAAATTGTAGCATGATAGACAGGGCTCGAACTTGATTAGTGATAAGATATTAGATGTTTCTACCAAACTGTATATGTATGTTTTGAAGAAAATAAGTTCCGGATTTTAGGAAGCAGATTATCTGTTGACTTAAAGATTTTCCGCTGACTATGATTTTTTGTGTGTTAAACA